TCCTCAAGCTCTTGCATGGGAAGTTCGAAAACAATCTTCTCCTGGTAAAAACAGTCCAGTTATAAGAAGAAGTCCTAGCCCTGGAGCAATAAAATTTCTTAACTTTGGTTCATCAAAGAATGTATCTTCTTGGGCTGATTGTTTAAAAGGGATAAACATGAAAGAACCTTCTAAAAACATTTTATCCCCAGTTACAGTTAAAAATGTTCCATCTCCTGTATTAGAGGGTTCCCATGATGATACTTATTCAAATGAAACAAAAGATGATGACAATGAAGGATGGGAAGTAGTTCGCAAAGGTCGTTTAAGATTAAAAGAATCAAGTTTTGTATCTTCCACTTCTTCACAAAATGTTCAGGTAGTAAAGGAGAAACAAATTTCAAACCAAAGTAGTGCTAATAGTAGTACTAGTACCATGAAAGAAAAATCTGAAGCCAGTCACAAATCTTTTATTAGTATTGACAATACAAATATCTTTTCAGAAGACCAGTTTTATGATGAGGTTTATGCAGATTTGAACAGGGATACGTTTTCTTATGACTTGACAGATGATGACTTAAACAAAAAGATTAAAGAAGAGCAAGAAAAGGTCCTAAAAGTTTTCCTAATATTGAGTTACAATTATTTATTTAGATTGTCACGTCTGTTATTGTTATCTTCTATTTCTTATGTTTACTATATTTTAGGATGCCTTATGTTTCAAGCTTCTTTTTTTTTTTTTTTTTTTTTTTTTGTAAAGTTTTAAGCTTTCTTTCTTTTTTTAGATTTCAATGAACTCTATTAAATTATAGGTACTGTATTTTTTTTATCATAAAAATAAATTAGGCTTTGGCTAGTGCAATTGCAGAAGAAGAAACTCTTAGAAAAGAACTTGAAGAAGAAGCTCTAAAAGATGATGACCAGGATTATGATATAAGTAGTGATAGAGATTATGCTACAACAGATGATGGCCGTGAAACACCAAAAGATTTATCAGATGATTTACCTTTAGATCCTTCGGTTAGTAACAGTTTTTATTTTAAGTTTTAATGATATTGTTGCTTATAAAAACTATAGAATATACTAACTAGGGCTGTACCGGATTTAATTTTTCCAAATCCGGCCGGAGCCGGATTTGCTTGATTTCTACTAACAGATCCGGCCGGAGTCAGATTTCGAAGCAAAACTATAGGAACCAAAATCCTGTACATCCCTACTTTTTGCTGAAAATGGTCAACAACGTTGACTATTTAGATCACCAAGTGACAGTTGTTTTCTATTAAACATCATTTTTGTTGTTTAAAAGTTTTATAGCAATTTCTATAGAAATTAATTAAAGACATTTTATATAAATTTTATTGTTTCTATAGGCCATATGTTTCAAAAATTTAGAGAAATTCTATAGATTTTTTTTTTTCCCGGGATGTTGTCACTCCGCCACTGTAGTGAATCAGCGTGTCTATATGTTTCTGATTCTTCCAGATATAGGCTTAGCTGAGTGTCAATGCCTGTTGGTAATTGTTGTTCATGTGCTGTGCCACAAGCGGGCATAGACTGAATAATTTCATCTATATATATTGCCATTGTAATGATGATAATGTATAAGAGTTATCCAGCCGGGATTGTTTTGCTGGATTTTCTTTAGTTTTTCAATCTAAAAAGGTTTCTCCTCAATGCCTTTGAATCACTCATCTAATGACTTGATTAGGATCGACTTCATAGTCTTTACACCTGCATTATTGCAGAATATTGTGTGTCTTTTCTTCAGAATTTTTTGTTGCGTTGTTGTTTGAAATTAGGCTTAGCTAATTAAATTGTAAAGAAATGTAAATAGAGATACCAAAACAAACATGAAGTTCAAAAATTAAGTATTATGTATACATTTTATCCTGGGCAAGAAAGATGTAATAAATATCTGACCAAAATTCAGAAATCCGGCCAAAATTATGCCGGATTTGCTAACATTTTGCCAGGGCCGGATTTGGGCCGGATTTGTAAAAATGGATGGATTTCGGCCGGAGCAGGAGCCGCAGCCAAAATTCGGTACAGCCCTAATACTAACATAATTTACATTTACTTTCTTACAATTTACTTATAGAATACACTGACATAATTTACATATATTATTGCTGATCTTATTTTTCCTTAATCCGAGGCATATATATATATATATATATATATATATATATATATATATATATATATATATATATATATATATATATATATATATATATACACACACATATATTTATATATATACATATGTGTAATAAATAATAATATAAATATGGATATAAAACCAAAGAAAAAAAAATAATTTATTAGTGTTCTATGAAACCAAAAAAAAATTTTTTTTTAGAAACCGAAAAAATAATTTTTCTCACATAAAATAGTTGATTACTGTTAAGCTAGTTGTATATATGTGTATGTATATATATATATATATATATATATATATATATATATACATATATATATATATATATATATATATATATATATATATATATACACACATATATATTTATATATATACATATGTGTAATAAATAATAATATAAATATGGATATAAAACCAAAGAAAAAAAAAGAATTTATTAGTGTTCTATGAAACCAAAAAAAATATTTTCTTAGAAACCGAAAAAATAATTTTTCTCACATAAAATAGTTGATTACTGTTAAGCTAGTTGTATATATGTGTATGTGTATATATATATATATATATATATATATATATATATATATATATATATATATATATATATATATATATATATATATACATATATATATATATATATATATATATATATATATATATATATATATATATATATATATATATACACACATATATATTTATATATATACATATGTGTAATAAATAATAATATAAATATGGATATAAAACCAAAGAAAAAAAAAGAATTTATTAGTGTTCTATGAAACCAAAAAAAATATTTTCTTAGAAACCGAAAAAATAATTTTTCTCACATAAAATAGTTGATTACTGTTAAGCTAGTTGTATATATGTGTATGTATATATATATATATATATATATATATATATATATATATATATATATATATATATATATATATATATATACATATATATATATATATATATATATATATATATATATATATATATATATATATATATATATATATATATATATATATACACACATATATATTTATATATATACATATGTGTAATAAATAATAATATAAATATGGATATAAAACCAAAGAAAAAAAAAGAATTTATTAGTGTTCTATGAAACCAAAAAAAATATTTTCTTAGAAACCGAAAAAATAATTTTTCTCACATAAAATAGTTGATTACTGTTAAGCTAGTTGTATATATGTGTATGTATATATATATATATATATATATATATATATATATATACTATATATATATATATATATATATATATATATATATATATATATATATATATATATATATATATATATATATATATATATATATATATATATATATGTAAAAATGTTAGTTTTTAGGTTGTCATTTTTTATACATATATACAACCTTAGGAATTAGGGTCTGCATTTGGCAATACCGACCTAACTGCCAACATGAAAATGTTTAAGCTTAGCAAAAAATTTGCTAACCTTGTTTCTATTTTTTATGGTTAGGTCTTAGTATCAAATAATTTTTGCCAACCTGATGGCGACCTCAAAAAGATTGAGGTCGGCAAATTATTGCCAACCTCATTTTTCCTAAGTTTGAGGGTTGTATATATTTTTTTGATGTCGTTTTGCTCCTTCTGAGCTGGTATTCTTGTTTTTTCCAAAAGTGTAGCAATTACAAAAGTTAATTTCTGTTAAAAATTCAATACCAACAATTATATACCAAGTGAATTGCTTTCAAGTATGAACTAGTGGTAAAAAGATGTTGATATCCATTGAGATTTTAATGTGATCTTGAATTAAGATTGAAATCTATCTTAAAAACAGTAGATTAACTTTTCCATCCTAGCATGAGGGAAAATTTTATCTAATGGTTGGTGTTTTCTTTTTGATTTTTAACATTAAGAAACAAGGTGGCTTAAAGCAGCAGTTATATTAATCAATAATAATCAAGATGTGGGTGAAATACAAGGAGTTTTTTTTTTTGAGGAAAAAAAAGATTCCTAACTCTTTGGGAATCTTTGGTACTGCAAGCAGTGTTATAAGTTAGAACTTATATTTATTGCCATATTGCCTGCAAGTTAGTGTGACAAATTTAGTGTCAGGTGGGGTTTAATCCATAACATAATGATTTAGTTGCTGGTGACAGAATGCCAGGTACTATTTCTAAGTATTATTTCGATTGCTGATTATGGTACTGTTAATATCATAATGTGACAATACTGATCACTTTACTTTTTTGATTTCTAATGATAAACTGATAATTGATGTTTCAACATCAGAATTAGGCAGTTTATACACTCTCATTATGTGCTTCTTTTTCTTCGTTCTTGTTCAAATGCATCTTTAAGACTTTTCCCCCGAGTATGCAAACTTTTTATCAATTGTACCTATGCAATCTTTTTTTTTTTTTTGTGGTTGTAAAAACTCTCTGTTTTTTTAATATTAATAAAACATTTTATTTGGATGTGCAACATTTGATTCACTTTATATTTCGCAATGATGTTGTGCTCCTTCTGAATTGGTATTCTTGTTTTTTTCTAAAAATGTAGCTATTACAAAAGTTAAAATTACTATATAAATTTAATACCAACAGTCCTAGGACTGATATAACTTGATTACTATGTGTAATACAAAAAAGTCATTATGTTTTAAGCAAAACAAATGTATCTTATAAAAAATACAATTAATGAGTAATATAACTTGAAAGTTAAAATTCAACTTGAAATATTTGTATTTTTGACAAAAATTTTCAAAACACTATGTAATGTTTACAAGCATGCTGACTGTAAATCAAGGAATAGTTATAAAGTATTGTTCAAAAACATACAAAAAAATGGTGTAACTAACCTGGTACATTGATAAATTGTTTTAGGATCTCAGTAGTCTTTTATTCACAAGGTACTTTTTCACGTTTGAGTTTGAGCAATTATTAAAAATCAAGTTATACATAATAAAACTACTGATTCTTTGGGATAATTCAAACAAAATCAAAGAGTAAGCAGACAACACTTTGTCTGTGTTATTTTAGTAATAATAACATAATAATCTATTAATAATTAACATAATAATATTTTAATATTAATACTAGTTTGTTGCATAATATTACTATAGAGGTTGTGAGATTGCAACTCCTGACCTAATATAGCAAGTGATATACTACTGCATCATTACTATATTGAGATTATTGGAAAACTGTTTGCATGAACAGTTTTATGTTGATTATCAAGTTAAAGAAAAAAAAATCCAAAATTAACAAAGGCTTAATAAAATGCTGTTTTATTACTGGTGAGTCTGTAAGTTAGTTTTATCTGCTTCAATTTTCTTGAATAAGTTGTTTGATAGAGAAGGTAAAGGGCCTAATAATAGGTTTTTTGTCTACATAACTTCGCTTACTGTATACTAATATTTTCAGACCTCCTTTGATGCTGAGAAATCTATTACATGGGAAGAAATGTGCGCTCAATATGACCAAGATCATGCTGATCCCTCGTTTAACTGGGCAGATGCTATTGAACAAACTGAGTCAGTGCGTTTACCTGGTCACGCTTTGGTCATGCATCAAAAATTGTCTTCTCCATCAAGAAAGCAATCACGGTCTGACTCAGTGAAACGATCTCAAGATAAAATGGTTATTAGATTAAAATTTATTATCATTTTTTTTTTGTTTTCACAATTTGTTGTTTTAATTTAACTACTTTTAAAATTGTCATGGAAACAAACGAGTATAATAATATACCAATATAATGTGAATAATTCTTAAAGGTTCGTGCAGAACGTAGAAGGTTGCGGTTGCTCATAGAAAAATGTCAACGCTTGAAGGTCCTTTCTGAACGTGTAAGTATGGTTAATATCTTTTAACTTCTATATTGCTTGTTACCACCTATGGGCTTTAATTATATTATATGTTGTATTATATCTTTGTGTTTGTTTTTTTTTTTATGCTTAGTCATTATATCATGGACTTTAATTATATTTTATGTTGCATTATATATTTGTGTGTATTTTTTTAATGCTTAACCATTCTTAGTTTTATCTTGAATAAATAAAGGACCTTTAAAAATATGTACACTTAAAAATTTGTTTAATTTTATGTAAAGTTTTGTGTATGTTTTGTTTTGTGTATCTGATTTATAATTATTATTTTAGGTACGAAATGTTCGAAGTTTAAAAAATAGATTAATTGCTGATAAAGAAAGATCCATGTTAGAGCAGATGAAAAAAGCAGAACTCAATAGAATGATAGTTTTACAGGAGAAAATTAAAAAAGCACAAGAAGAAGATGCCAAAGTAATTTTTAAAATTTAAATAAAAACTTTATTTGGTTATTTATGTTAATGTTGTCATTCGTTTTGTTTTCAAATTCTTTTCTTCCTGAATTTTTATTGCTGTACTATTTTTTTGTTTTTTTGTTTGTTTGTTTGTTTGTTTGTTAATCTTTCACAGGTAAATGAAATTGCGTTTATCAATTCTCTAGAAGCGCAAAATAAAAAAATTGAAGTCCTAGAAAAGCATCAAGTAAGTTTTTTTTTTTTTTTTTTGCAGTTTTAACTTTTTACTTGTAGATGAAAACTTGTAGATGAAAAAAAAATGCCATTTTTGTACTTTATTAAATGATTAATATCTTTATCAAGAGTCTAATAAAAAAAAATTTTTGTATCATTTAGTTGTATAAAAGTATAACTAACAGCATTTATTTTGTAAACTTTTCAACGTTACATGTATTTTTGAAATTCTTATTTAGTCATGTAAGAATGTATTTAATGAAGTTTATTTTGTTAAACATATATTTCTTATTGTTATTTTTTTTAATACCGCATACATTAGTTTATATTTTTTAAAATAAAAGCATTATTTGTACATGTGTATTTTATATATTTGAATTATTTTTAAAACAAAAGGTATATATAATATGTATATAAACTTATAATTATATCAAAGATATATACAATCAGGTATATATAACTATCCTGACAATCTTTATAAATAAGTTTCTTTAATAATATTTAAAAAAAGCAAAGATACTAATTTATTTTTAATTTATAAATGATTTTTTTTTTTTTGAGATTTAGTGAAAATTAATGCAAATAAAAGTGATTAGCTGGTTGTACATGGAAAAAAAATGTTTTGATGTTTCCAAAAAAAATAATTCTACAATGGCATCTTTTTTTATATTGAAACTCTTATAAATTAAACACACTTGAATAAATAATTGAATCTGTAAATTACATTTTTAAAAAAAAACTGTATATTTTAAAGACTTCAAAATCAAATTATAATGGAGAAAGCTACGTTTATAACTACAAAGTTATCCTTGTTATACGTTTAATATTTTGTTTTAATCAAAAAAATTTAGCAAATATATATCTTTTTTAAACATTGTCTTCAGTATGATGGCAACTTGTCTCAGCATTTATAGATCTCTTTAAGTTTCACAGCATTTAGTGCTATTGTGCAAAAGTTGAAAATTTTGGAACCCCAAAGAAAAAGGGAAAATTTTGGAACCCCAAAGACTATATGGGGCATCATGTTTTGTTCTAAAAAATTTCAATAAAATTGACAAATACACTGTTTTTTCATTATTAAATTAAATTATTATAAAAATTAAGAAATAGTATTCAAAATCAAGAGTACAAAATTGTGTGTTTTGTTAGGTCTTTGGATTTTATACTGTCTTTTGTACCTAAATTTAAGCATGGCCTTTCTCAATTTTAGAGTGGAGTGAATAAATCCATCTTGTTTTTTATGACCACAAACTTTCTTTCAGGCCTCCATACTAAATTTTACTGTTTTTCCACAGCTTGTGCAACTTTTTTTTTTCAACTTTGTAAAAGTTTTGTTGGTTAATATTGCTTCTTCCAGCATATTTTTCAAATCTTATACACTCACCTAAATTATTATTGGTGGTGAAATCACTTTGCTGGACAACTAGTCAATAAGGTTGATATAGTTGTTTGCTTTAAAGTTTTTTTTTTGGAATATAGAACTTTCTAGTCCAAATTTGTCCAACCGTCTTAATTGGTTATCATGCTTTTATGATGCTTTGAATACTAAGTGCTCTGAAATGTGTTCTCTTATTAGTCAGCATTGCAAGAAGAAAGTTTTCTGGAGATTTAAAGTAAGCATTCTGAGTAATCACTGGTCAGTCACATTACAATTAACTTAATTCAAGTATCAAGTATGATTACTTTTCGCCAGAATAAAGTAGAGTTATTTGCAAAGAACCTTTCCTCTAATTTGACTCTTGAATCTAACACCCATATTCTTCCTGCCAATCCAGTTAAACACATTAACCTATTGTTAAACATCCAAATCACTCTGGCTTCTGATGTTAAAGTCAATTCTCAGTTAAACTTTTCTAACTAGCTTGTGGTTAAGGCAGTATTTCCATTATAATCTTACAAAAGTGTTCCCCAGAACTTTTTTCAGTTCTTGCTAAACTATTATTAAGTACTAAATAAGTGGTTTCAATTTTTGAAAACTTTAGTAAACACACTGACCTCTCTAACTATCCTATGGTTAGTCTTCTCTTTAGTAATAGTTTCTTTACTTTTGGAGATTATTAAATCATTTCTTTCAGCAGAATTTAAGTCATTTTAAAAGACCTACACTCTTTTTTATTTCCAGTAATTTTAGGGGTACCACAAGGTTCTATCTTTGCTCCTGTATGATTTGCTGACTACTCAGCTTTATACACTTGTTTTTACAAAAGTCTTCGATTTTATCACTCTTCTGTAACAGCTTGGGGCTTGTGGATCTCTGTTGGATCAACTAAAACTCATTCATGCTTAGCTTTTCATTCAATAAAGTTGCATCCTTTTACTCTTTTTGTCCCTTCAAGCTATAAAATTGTTTTATTTTATTTACGTTTTTTTCCTCTCACATCAGCAGATCCTCAAAACTCCATCACCCATCTTTATATTTTCCTTACTCATACAATTTACAACTTTTTGAGTCTTCAATTAACCATTTCCTTGCTCTTTAACCCTATGTACCCAATTTTAAAGTCTTGTTTAAAAAGTTAATTTTTAAAGGTTCGAAAATATAATGAAAAAACAGTTTATTCTACTGTAACATGTTTTTTTTTAGACTTAAAAAGATTTATTACATAGCGTAGGGGAGGTCGGGGGAATGGTGGCCCCTTAAGGTTTTTTGCCATTTTTAGGGTTGTATTATAATGGTTCGAGCTGTAACTATGGTAGAAGAATTACTACAATGTATATTATAAAGTACTTTATTGGCAAATATGTAAAAAAACTAATAAACGTGTCATTACAAGAAAAAAATTAAACAAAATGGCCAGTATTACCCCATAACTTTTGGGCAATTATGGCAGCCTGGTCAGCATTACCTCAATTCTTTGTCGAATATGAGTAATGAAAACAAGAATGATAATTATTAAAAATAAGTTTCATAAGAGTTTAAGAGAATAAATTTATGAGTTTAAGAATTAATAAAAGTAAGTACAATATTACTATTAAATACAATAGTTACAAATATAAATATCTTTTTTAAGGAGGAGATCTGTACAGTCTTTGTGAGCCCAGTCACCACATGCAGCACAGGTTACCCACCATTCTCGGTTTTTACCAAATTCGCCACAAACCAAACAAATATCTTTTCTATGGCTTGTTTGTCAACGTCGTCAGTATTTTCATCGGTGGAGTTATTAAATCATTCCATAACTACCCTTCTTCCCTCGTTTCATAAGGCTTCTTATTTTCTTTTTCTTTGTTATAGATTTTTTTTATTTAAATTTTTAGAAACTTCTCTCAATTTCTTTTTCTCTTGTTTTTCTTATAAAATTATTTTGTTTGGTGATGAAGTTACAATTTGTGAATGCTGCTTTTTAGTTTGTTTTTTCCCAATCTTTTTTTTGGATGTTTCTGGTAATGTTAGAATATCTTGAAACGATACCTGTTCCATGTCATTTTGGAAAGGATGTGCGATTTTGTCTAAATCTGTAAGATCTGGCATGTTCTCACGTAGTTCATTTTCTGCACAAATTAGAAGAAAGGATTGCTGTGTCTGGCTTCAAAATCTTCTTTGCTAAAAACGTCTCTATTAAGAGGAAAAATTCCTGTTATTTGAAACCCTTTGACAGCTTTATTGAGATTACAAATTCTAGAATATGCATTATTGAATATTTCTGCAATTTCGAAGGGTGCGATTTTTTCCAGAAGATGATTTTGCATGTATTTACAGTATTCTTCATTATAAGCCGTTTTTAAAGGTAAAAAGAGATGTTCAGGGGTTGGTGTCGATGAGATGTATGAGGTGGTATCGTTCGAGTAACAATTCAATTGTCTTTGAAAAAATTGTAGACATCTATAGTGCAGTGGGTTGAATGGTTATCAACTATTAGAAGAACTGGATCTTCCAAACTAGGTTTTACAAAATTATGAAAGTTTTTCAAGTACTCAACAAACAGCTCTTCAGTAATCCAGCCCTTTTCGGAATAGCAATACAAAGAACCCGAATGACCTCCTTTTTTAGTTGCATATTCATTTGCTTCCTACAGAAAATAAACATGGGCAGCACATATTCCTGATGCACTTAAAGCACATAGGATTGAAATATTACGTCCTCGTTCCTCGCTAGTAGCAATACCCACTTGTTTTTGTCCTCGAGGGCCTAATATTTTCCCAGGATTTTGTACCATCTTGAAAAACCAGTTTTATCAGCATTAAATATTCTGTGTGCTCTAAAACTGTATTTGGTCATTAAAAGTTCTAAATTGTCATAAAAGATGGAAACATTGTCTTTATTAAAAGCAGTAATTTGACTAATACTAGTTGCTTCAGGTTTTCTTAGCGAAATTGAAAGGTTTTGTGTAATAAACCTCCAGCACCAATTGTCGCTAGCAATTTGTTTTTGTTTATTGGAAGGACTTCTAATATTATTTTATTCAATGAAATCAAAGGCACATATTTTTATTTGAATTTTTGTAATGCCATAAAAAAGTTTTGATAATTTAATTATGTGCTGCGCTAATTCACTCTCTTGTTCTGGGGTGAAAACTGGATATTGTCCTAGCCTAGGGCCATTGAAGTTGTATTCTTTCATTCTTTTTTGTCAAGTGCTCCTTGGAATTTTAAAGCTTCTGGACACTTCTCTGATTGCTCTGCCGTTCTTGATAGCTTCAATGGCTGCTTTTAATTGTTCAACAGTCCAAGATGCCTTCTCCGTTAGCCGTTGAAAATTGCATATCATCTAAAAAATATATCAAATAGTTTATAGCATTAAAGCGAGGTAAGGACGACCGGCCATGATTGCCCCGTATAAAATGGCTATTATAACCCCAAAAAGAATCAATATTTGTTAACAAAAATAAAAACATATTTGCAAATAAGAAGATACTTACATTATATATATTTTAAAACTAGAATAATTATTTCTTATTACTGGTGTTATTTAGTCAATGTCTTTTACATTTATATACTTAATAGCATAATAATTTTTTTTCTTTCTAATACGTAAATGACAGTTAACAACATAAGACAACTAGCGCCACTTAA